AATAAAATAAATTGACTTCATTAATTTTTTTGAACCACCTCTTAAGAAAATCTAAAAAATATGAATGGAATGATAAATCACAAGTACAAACTCATCATATTTTTTGCATTTTAGATAGGATTTATTCAGCAAAATTTAAGGGTGACGTCATCAATTTTTTTAGGAGGGATGAACAAATACATTTTGAACAAAAGTTTACCATGCTTATAATAACTTTAGAATATTCCCAAGATTTCAAAGCATTCGGTTTTGTAATTCCTGATTAAATCGATAAAATAAATTCCAAAAATATGAATGGAATGATAAATCACAAGTACAGACTCATCATATTTTGTACATTTTAGATACGATTTATTCGGCAAACTTTTGAGCTGACGTCATCAGTTTTTTGTAGAAGATAACGAAATATATTTTGACTAAAAATTTATTATGCTCTTTATAACATTAAAACATCTGCAAGATTTCAAAGCATTCGGTTTTGTAGTTCCTGATTAAATCAATAAAATAAATTTACGCTTTCATTTATTTTCTTGAATCACCCTGTATATGCAAATCCAAAAAATATGAATGGAGTGATAGATCACAAGTACAGACTGATCATATTTTGTGCATTTTAGATATGATTTATTCGGCAAATTTTCGAGCTGACGTCATCAAGTTTTTGGAGGGGATAAGCAAATATATTTTGACTAAACATTTATTATGCTCTTTATGACCTTAAAACATCTGCAAGATTTCAGAGCATTGGGTTTTGTAGTTCCTGATTAAATCAATAAAATATATTTACGCATTCATTAATTTTTTTGAGTCACCCTGTATATGCAAATCCAAAAAATATGAATGGAGTGATAGATCACAAGTACAGACTCATCATATTTTGTACATTTTAGATATGATTTATTCCACAAACTTTTGAGCTGACGTCATCAAGTTTTTGGAGGGGATAAGCAAATATTTTTTGACTAAAGATTTATGATGCTCTTTATAGCCTTAAAACATCTGCAACATTTCAAAGCATTCTGGTTAGCAGATTAAAAATTAAATTTCAAAATGTTGTTTTATAATTTTGATTTTTTTTCCAAAAATCTGGACGTTTCGGGTGAAAAGTCAATTCAGAGTTGTAAACTACATGTGTAGGACTATGTTATTTTATACAATTGAAAACCCATTTACTATGTACAATTTTGAAGTGACGTCATCGCTTTAGTGGTGGGGATGATTAGACAAATTTTGGTTAGCGTTTTACCATCTACATGATATTCTTAATATAAGTACAAAATTTCACAACAATCGGTCGAGTACTTTCGGAGATTATCTGTCTAATAAAAATCCGAGACAACAGACGGACAGACGGACAGACGGACGGACAGACGGACAGACGGACAGACGGACAGACAGACGGAAATGGGAGACCTATTTCTTCGTCTTCTAGGGGTCATGAAAGATCGAGAAAACGTAAAAGTAGAGAGTCGGCCGACGGACTCGATTACAATACTTCCTTTGCTTACGCTCGGGAAGTGAAAACAAAACAAGGGATTCGCAAGATTCTTTGAAATTATTTCAAAGACAAAACAAAAGGATTCCTTGAGATTTCTTCAGAAACCAGGCACATGGGGTCCCACAGATTCTTTCAAACTACTTCAAAAACAAAACAAAAGTGTTTTCCAAGATTCTTTCAAACTACTTCAAAAACTAGACACGGGGGGGTCCCCGAGATCCCTTCACCTTAGATCAAAAACAGAACAAGGGATTCCCAAGATTCTTTCAAACTGTTTCAAAAACAAAACAAAGAGTCCCTGAGATTCTTTCAAGCTACTTCAGAAGCCAGGCACAAGGGGTCCCCGAGATCCTTTCACATTACTTCAAAAACAGAATAAAGGATTCCTTGAGATTTCTTCAGAAACCAGGCACATGGAGTCCCACAGATTCTTTCAAACTACTTCAAAAACAAAACTAAAGGGATCCTCGAGATTCCTGAAACTACTTAAAAAACCGGACACAAGGGGTCCCCTAAATTTTTTCAAACTACTTCAAAAACAAAACAAAAGTGTTTTCCAAGATTCTTTCAAACTGCTTCAAAAACTAGACACAAGGGGTCCCCGAGATCCCTTCACATTAGATCAAAAACAGAACAAGGGATTCCCAAGATTCTTTCAAACTGTTTCAAAAACAAAACAAAAAGAATCCCTGAGATTCTTTCAAGTTACTTCAGAAACCAGGCACAAGGCGTCCCAGAAATTCTTTCAAACTACTTAAAACACCGGGCACAAGGGGTCTCCGAGATCCTTTCAAACTACTTCAAAAACCAGACACAAGGGGTCCCCAAGATCCTTTCACATTACTTAAAAAACAGAACAAGGGATTCCTAAAATTCTTTCAAATTATTTCAAAAACAAAACAAAAGGATTCCCTGATATTCTTTCAAGCTACTTCAAAAACTGGGCACAACGGCTCTCCGAAATTTTTTCAAACTACTTCGAAAACCAGACACGAAGTGTCCTTGAGATCCTTCCACATTACTTCAAAAACAGAACAAAGAATTCCCAAGATCCTTTCAAATTATTTTAAAAACAAAACAAAAGAATTCCCTGAGATTTTTTCAAACTACGTACTTCGAAAACAAAACAAAAGTGTTCTCCGAGATTCTTTCATACTACTTCAAAAACCAGACACAAGGGATCCCCAAGATTCTTTCAAACTGCTTTAAAAACAAAAGACATGAGGGTCCCCAAGATTCTTTCAAATCACTTCAAATACAAGACATCACGGGCAGGGGCGGATAGTACCATTTAGAAATCAAGCGGCTCAGTATCACCGGTGTTCGAATCCAAATTTTATGTACATTTAAATGAAATAAAATTTGGACTTTTCTGGCTCCGGTCTAAAGTTTTCCGGCGCTGGTTCAGCAGGTCCCATCCGTCCCTGCCCCTGAAGTAAGTCAAATAAATGCAGCTCCTTCAAAAATAGTAAAATTTAATTTTGTGATTTTTTTATGACAACTCGTATAAGTTAAAATATTAAACTACAGTGAAGAAGCATGTTATGCGCATGTTTCAAGTGGTAGGGATGATTACCACAAATTTTGGTTAGTCTTTTACTGTCTACAAGATTTACCTAATGTACACACAAAGAAACTAATCTAGGGGTCATGAAACGTTGAGAAATCATGAAAGTAACAGTCGTCGGATGGACCCTATTACAATACTTCCCTCGCTTACACTGTCACAAACTGTTTTCTAAAGATTTCACGACCAGTCTTTCGTTTCTCAGTACCGAAGTCTATTAGCGTCAATGCCCACCAATCATTCATCGTTGGTGATTTTTAGAAAAAGCGACGGTTACGGTTTTCAGCTTTTATTTAGTTGCTTACTGTTTGGGAGTGCGAGGGAGAAGCTTTTTCTAAAAATCACCAACGATACCCACAAGTTTAAGGAATACCATTCTGGTAGTAATTAAGTCCCATCTGGCAAACTCCTATTAAGGCATGACCACCAGGAGCCGGCGGAGGGACAAAACATGAAGTTCGTATTTAAAGATTCAAATACTCCGAACATTCCTAAAGCCCTCTCAACTGAAGATTTTGGCTTATATCCAGTTTTTGTAAATATTCAATATCCAATATATATTTGAGTCCATCAGTGTCTAAATTTAAACTTGTCTGGATACTCCAGAGCTCCCTAGGTACAGTTAGATAAATCACGTGGCAGTAAAACTGTTAGAGGTATAAATAATTTTCAGCAAAGTATTATACCAAGCGTTAATCTAAATGGTGGGCAAAACACATCCAATGTACGGATTAATGTGTATAATAAATTATTAGTAATTGCATGATAAAATTAATTCTAATTGAAAATATTATTTAATTACTACCAACCCTGAAAACATAAATTTCACTAGTTCTGGATGCTTTAATTACTCATAATAATAATACTTAAAGGAAAACGTTGTTGACTTTGATTACGATTTAAGTTTTTTTTGTCTTTCCTCTCGCGAATTGCAGAAGAATAGACTGAATGGAATAGTTAAATAACTTAACTAATACACTTAGGCGTTTCACGTTTCGTAACTATAGAATAAGGGGTCAATTTTGTAATTTATCGCTCCAGAACGATCTCGCTCCCAAACGATAATCGTTAGAAGCAATCGTAAAATCAGGTTAGCGAGATTGTATAAATTTCCAATTTTATAAACACTATCGTAATCGTAAAGCTTTGAAATCGTTAGCGGAACGATGAATCTAATGTTTTTAGAATCGGTAGTATTTAAATTTGTGTAGCGTCTAGATTACGTTGTTCTCTGTTGTGACATGTGACATTTGTTTTGCTACTGATTGAAGTTTGGACAAATTTGTGAATTTTATAACATGTAAGTAAACAATAATTATAAAAGAAAAACATCAAAATAATCACACTAACACGAAATTCAGTTTACAATACGTTCACGGGAGCAATGGAAAAACGTAAAAGGGCCCAGCGTATTACCCAAGAGTAACATGAGTTGTATGTGGAGGGGTTAGAAGGTAATGTAGATTTTAGGGCCCAAAAGTTCGTAGCGGACAAGCCAGATCTTTTAGAAAAGATATGGGAAGGGTTGGTAGCAAAACTAAATTCTGTGGGAGGACCACAAAAAAGTGTTCAGCAGTTCAGAGAGGTATGTGTAATTAATGAATCTCCCGAACACTCTTTTTAAAAATGTGTACTTTACTATAATTTATCGTACAACTATTAGCAATTATTCTGCTTACATCAACACTTTGGTTATGACAAAGTGAACATCTTGTTTAGTCATGACCAATCAATTATGAGAACTGAGATGTTTAATCTTTATAAATACTGTTACACAATAAACCATAACCTCTGTGTTTTTTAGTACACCAAGAATATAACATAGAGCACTCTAAATACAATGTACTGCCTGGTAAGTAAACGTCACTGTGTGTTCCAGAGATTTGTAGATTGGAAATTCAATGTTTGAAAGAAGGCCAGAAATTTAAGACTATGTGAAAGAGGAACTGTTTAATAATTTCATTATGTTGTAAAAAAAATAATAAATACATTATTGAAAATGCTGTATTATTAAATTATTTCTTGTGATATGCCATTCATGTAGTAAATTGTGTTCTTCATATTCAAGTTCTTCATTATTATCGTTCTTCTTGTCATAGACAATATTGATCTCGTCATTTTCGATATTTCTTATGCGTAAGATTGTGTGAAACAGCACATGAGTATGTAATTTTTCCTGCAACTTCTGGTGAATAATACAGAACTCTGCGGCAGTATTTCTGGAAATGTATCTCTCGCCGCTTCCCATTACAGTTGGTAGGTCTTCCTAAAGGTTTCTTCTCGAACGATCAAGGGGTCGTTTACATCTCTTAAGACCCGAGACAAATTTCTCATTCTGTCTCTGCAGTAAAAAAAATATACCTATAATAAGTTATCAACCTAATCCAAACATACATTAATTAGTTACATTTACCTTCTCTACCCATATTTGCACCAAAACGTTCCTCTTCATTGTATAAATACTTTTCTAACGTGTTCTGACACTTCTAACGGTGAGCTGAAACCTATCGTTCCGGAACGATGACATTCTAACGATACGATCGCTATGTAACGAGACGATAGATGTTACAAAATCGCTATCAGTCCCAAAATCGTTATGGGAACGATTATCGTAAGTTAACGATGCTCTAGCGAGATCGTTAAGAGTTACAAAATAGACCTCTAAGGGGTCTATTTTGTAATTTATCGCTCCGGAACGATCTCGTTCCCAAACGATAATCGTTAGAAGCAATCGTAAAATCAGTTTAGCGAGATTGTACAAATTTCCAATTTTATAAACACTATCGTAATCGTAAAGCTTTGAAATCGTTAGCGGAACGATGAATCTAATGTTTTTAAAATGGGTAGTATTTAAATTTGTGTAGCGTCTAGATTACGTTGTTCTCTGTTGTGACATGTGACATTTGTTTTGCTACTGATTGAAGTTTGGACAAATTTGTGAACTTGTAACATGTAAGTAAACAATAATTATAAAAGAAAAACATCAAAATAATCACACTAACACGAAATTCAGTTTACAATACGTTCATGGCAGCAATGGAAAAACGTAAAAGGGCCCAGCGTATTACCCAACAGCAACATGAGTTGTATGTGGAGGAGTTAGAAGGTAATGTAGATTTTAGGGCCCAAAAGTTCGTAGCGGACAAGCCACATCTTTTAGAAAAGATATGGGAAGGGTTGGTAGCAAAACTAAATTCTGTGGGAGGACCACAAAAAAGTGTTCAGCAGTTCAGAGAGGTATGTGTAATTAATTAATCGCCCGAACACTCTTTTTAAAAATGTGTACTTCACTATAATTTATCGTACAACTATTAGCAATTATTCTGCTTACATCAACACTTTGTTTAAGACAAAGTGAACATCTTGTTTAGTCATGACCAATCAATTATGAGAACTGAGATGTTTAATCTTTATAAATACTGTTACACAATAAACCATAACCTCTGTGTTTTTTAGTACACCAAGAATATAACATAGGGCACTCTAATTACAATGTACTGCCTGGTAAGTAAACGTCACTGTGTGTTCCCGAGATTTGTAGATTGGAAATTCAATGTTTGAAAGAAGGCCAGAAATTTAAGACTATATGAAAGAGGAACTGTTTAATAATTTCATTATGTTGTAAAAAAAATAATAAATACATTAGTGAAAATGCTGTATTATTAAATTATTTCTTGTGATATGCCATTCATGTAGTAAATTGTGTTCTTCATATTCACGTTCTTCATTATTATCGTTCTCCTTGTCATAGACAATATTGATCTCGTCATTTTCGATATTTCTTATGCATAAGATGTTGTGTGAAATAGCACATGAGTATATAATTTTTCCTGCAACTTCTGGTGAATAATACAGAACTCTGCGGCAGTATTTCTGGAAATGTATCTCTCGCCGCTTCCCATTACAGTTGGTAGGTCTTCCTAAAGGTTTCTTCTCGAACGATCAAGGGGTCGTTTACATCTCTTAAGACCCGAGACAAATTTCTCATTCTGTCTCTGCAGTAAAAAAAATATATAATAAGTTATCAACCTAGTCCAAACATACATTAATTACTTACATTTACCTTCTCTACCCATATTTGCACCAAAACGTTCCTCTTCATTGTATAAATACTTTTCTAACGTGTTCTGACACTTCTAACGGTGAGCTGAAACCTATCGTTCCGGAACGATGACATTCTAACGATACGATCGCTATGTAACGAGACGATAGATGTTACAAAATCGCTATCATACCCAAAATCGTTATGGGAACGATTATCGTAAGTTAACGATGCTCTAGCGAGATCGTTAAGAGTTACAAAATAGACCTCTAAATCTCTTCTCATAATTCACTGTCTTCAATTTATGTTTCCTATGCTTGGTTTTTTCACGACTCCAATTGGTTTTACAAACCAAAATAGTTTTTTTGTGATAACAGTTAATATTTTTGACTTGCTTACAAAATATTCACACTTTCACCTAATTTACTTCTGTCTCAAAAACTACTTTACTTGTTACCTGCAGATCTGTTTTTGCATAGTGGTTATCGTTTGAGGTTTTTGCTTCGCATAATTACCTCATTCCGATTTGTACATTTAACGAGTTTGTAAAGCAGCTGTATTTTCAGTTATTTATGATGGCAATCCTAGTTCTTAACTGCCACTATTTCTTCCGTACTTTTTCTACGTAAACAATATTTCTACAACCTGCCAAACCGTTTTTGTTAAAAGTTTAGAGGTCAGCAGATATATGTTAGTGATAAATAATATGCAACAAAAAACTAGTTGTCAAAAAAGCTTCTAGTATACAGATGACTATACGCCATAAATTATAATAAATATTAAAACATATAATAACCGATTTTAGTGTGCATTTTTTTCGCAAACTAGTCTCTACAGAATAATTTTATTGCGTTGTTAAAACACAAACTTTAAGTACTGCCGCTCAAATTTTCTCTTAACAGGAAGTGCATGCTGCTAATAAATTTGGTAAAAAAAAGAAAGTGCATTGGCTAATTCGAGACGATGAAACATCCACAAATAATTGTCTAGGTAAACTAAAATAAGAACGACAGCTCATTTATCACCAAGTTATGTGCAGTAACCGTCACTGTCCAATTAATGGCACCAACAATGTCACATTCAAACACGCAAAGTACTTTCCTTGCGGAACAATACATCCTCAAATTTACAGATATGTCAATTCCTAGAAAAAAACCAACGATTTCCACACTACTTTGTCCCCATTTATCTCTTATTAATGTCAATAGATAATGCAGCTATTAAATAAGCTTATTGTTATCTTACGAGGAAGTGGTATTTGGTCAGAATATTTTTTACCAAGTGTTTTAGTAGACTTCTATGATCTTATATTTCTTTATCAAGTAGTCGGGACGCCGTCCACATTACGTATGCATACATAGTGTCATCAAAATTTGATAAAAGCGAAGGTGGAAGTGAATGAGGTTTTCAACTTCCGTCTTTTGGAAAGCGTCACAGCTGACTAGTACTACTACGTCATGTGCAAAAATGGTAAAAATTTTCCTTATGAGTACTACTGAGGTAACTTTTTGGTTGCAACTTCTTAAAAGCAAAATTTAGTTTGATTAGTAAAGTTTTATCACACAATAATAATAATCATGTAAAATTGTGGCAAACCAAAATCAAATGAACAGCCAGATAAACATACATCCGCAACAAAAATAAACAAGCAAAACAAATTCGCAATATTATTAATTTTCACAACCTTGCTACAAATGATTGTAAAAATTTGGAATAAAATAAGAGCAAAAATCATCAATTAGGAAACTGTTAAGAAGATTACCAACGAGCAGTTTCCCTATCAATTAAAGAATTATCACAAACCAGAAGCGAGTCATCCGCATACATGGTTAATTACGTTATACGTACAACTAGTTTAAAGAAAATAAAAAAGGAAAAGCACGAGACTTGGAATTAATTAGACATTTTTAGCTAATTGCCGCTTAATAGTTTTAACTACTGCGAAGGCTTCATTGCGGTGAAAAACATCCTTAAACATTTCTATCGTTCACTTCTTTTTGTCGTTGTCATCGTTATAATAATGCACTAAAACAACTCCCTAAAATTTATATTATTGTGCGGAAATATGTTCAAGTTTTCAGTGATCTACATTTTTTAGTTGCCCCAGTTGGAATAGAGGATAACATGTTTCGGCTATGCTTCCATATTAATAATTACAGTCTAAGTTACATTATAGGAGCAAGAACGGATATTATTTATGAAATTTTTAATTTACGATTATAATTAGTTATCTTCAACATATAATTTCACAGTTCATTTAAAAGCAGCAACTTGAATTTTAATTTAGCCACTTCGCTTAAAGATTCTCGTAACAGATAAGTGAACGTATGGGTTTGATCGAAGCTCTCGTAGCACAAGAACAATTAAACACAGCAAATAAGTGCATTATACGCTCCTCCGCCAAGTCAACAGGTGGTAACAAGTATATCAATAACGTAACTACTGTTGCTACAGACCGAATTGAATCATTTGGCAATGTGCTCCCAAAACCGTTTTTCAACAGAACATGTTGAAGACACAACACGGAAATGGCCAGATCAGATTTCAAAGTGATGGTGAAAAACATTTTGTGCGCTTAATTTACATTTTAACTTATTAAAATTTATACAGGATGCATGCTGAAATTGTATTCAAGAAAAAAGTGCACGTGGTTACAGAATGTCAGTTGGTCTGAAATAAATTCAGCTGCACGAAAGCGCAAAACGTAGTTTTGTCGCGTTTCGATGTGTTGTAAGCGTTACGTTATCACTTGTCTAATAATAATAAAGCACTGAAGTATTTTATCTGTGTAGACGTACAGCATGTAATTACTTTTGAGTTAAAATCATTATAGGCAGAAACCCGTTTATAAAGTGGTCTTGGTACTATTATTTGAAAAGAGATTATTAACGCAGCCAACGTGGATTAAGCTTTAAACAGAGGGAGCTTGGAATTTGTAGTATGTCCTGAATTTCGTCGATTTTAAGTTTCTTCTGGTTAGTTATTGTGGTTATTACGAAAAGTGTGACTTCTGACATTAACAAAAATTTATCTAAAGAGTTTGGATGGTTTTCGTTCTCTGTCTGAAGCGTGACCAGTATCTCCGCACATCGAGAAATCTAAATGAGAAAAAATTAGACCACTTTTCATTATGCAGCTCATTAACTTTTGATGAAATTTAAATTATTTAATTTTGAAGTCTGTAATATAACAGTAATCAAAAGGTTGCTGAGTCATGATTTGATACCATGAAGTCGATAACGAAATCTTTGACACCTTTATTTTGAATTTCAAAAATCAGTCAAAATAAGCAACTGAAACGATTACCAAATATCAATTTATGAGAAGTTTATAAAATTTCGGTTAGTTGCAATAAATGTAAGTAAGTAAGTAAGTAAGTAAGTAATTAAGTAATTAAGTAATTAAGTAATTAAGTAAGTAAGTAAGTAAGTAAGTAAGTAAGTAAGTAAGTAAGTAAGTAAGTAAGTAAGTAAGTAAGTAAGTAAGTAAGTAAGTAAGTAAGTAAGTAAGTAAGTAAGTAAGTAAGTAAGTAAGTAAGTAAGTAAGTAAGTAAGTAAGTAAGTAAGTAAGTAAGTAAGTAAGTAAGTAAGTAAGTAAGTAAGTAAGTAAGTAAGTAAGTAAG